ATCTCGGCTCGGATGATCATAGGGTCGTCATGTGGGTAGACGATCCCTTCCTCTTCTTCCTCGGAGAAGGTGATGGGTTCCCACCTGACCTTCGGCATCTTGGTGTGCCGGCTACTTTCAATGCCGAGGACTTGGGGGTACTGTGCCGCCCTGACATACTACTTCATTGACCGGTTAGATGCCCCGGCGAGAGTTGGGCCCCCACTGATCGTGCTGATCATGTTGATTTGCCGATTGGCATTCGGCAATGGCGCCTGCTGTGGCCTGGCTATATACTGATCCAGTTTGCCTTCCTGAATCAATCGCTCGACGATCTTTCGCAAGCTTATGCAGTCCTTGGTATTGTGGCTGTTCTACTGATGGTATCGGCAGAATTTCCTTGTATCCCTGCCGTCTTGCCGATTAGGCTTCCGGAACGCTGGCTTCGGGATTATCTCGTTTTCATTCATCAGCACTGCCTCGTAGGAGGTGTTGAGCAGGGTGAACACCTCCGTTCCTTGGTTATGTGCTGGTAATGGCGCTCGGTAGCTGTCCCTGCCGTACCTGCTCTTGTTTTTCTTGGAATGCCCCTTTTGGGAGTTTCCGGTATCCTTGCGCTTGTGGCTCTCAGGGTATTCGACAGCTTGTGCCGCTGGCGCGAACGGTGGTGCCTGTGCCTTGGAGGACCGCTGTATGGGTTCCCTCTGTCGAGCCGTGGGCTCGGCCCTCGAGTTGAAATATTCAGCTTTGGCGTGGATTGCCACTTGCTTCATGAGTTCATTGTACGTTCACCAATTGCTGCTGTGTACCAGATACCGAAAGTGTGAGGACCGTAGGCCACTCTTGAAGGCGCCGTAGGCTGCCCTGTCATCGGTATCCGGACATCTCGAGTATTCATGGCTGAATCGTGCGGTGTACTCACGCAACGGTTCGTCGTCTCTCTGCCGAATGGTATACAGATCATCGGCAGAATACAGCCTGTCCGTTTGAATCATAAAATGGTTCAGGAAAATTTGCTTCAGCTCGTCGAAGGAATCCACCGTCCCTGGTTCCAATCGGTAGAACCAGTTTAGGACCGCCTCTGTGAGTGAAGAGGGAAACAGCATGCATAATCCTTCGTCGCTCAGCCCCCGGCATCCTACGGCCGATTGGAAAGAGTGAAGGTGCGTCAGGGGGTCCTCCACTCCTGTGTAAGCGGTTATGCGCAGGGGCTGTACGTCTCTATCTTGCCGTGAGCGCCTTATGCGCTAGGTGAAGGGTCCTGGCCGAAGCCTTCCCCAATCTGGCTCCTGTGAGCGAGTCCAATCGTCCTCCATCTTCTGTACCCTCTGAAGGAGGAGACGAATGACAGGGTCCCGGTCCGGTATCTCCTCCACAGTCTGGTACACCGATCGCTGCTGGGACCTAACCGAGTTAACTTCAGAGAACTTCGTCGGCGTTGCCGAACGGTAGGATGATGACCGATTTGTGGAAGGGATGTACTCTTGGTCAGATTCTGCCGTGGACTCCAGAACTGGTATTCTCCGTATTGGAGACTTCCTCCCTAGACCCCTCAGTCGGGGATCGTCCAGGTGTGCATTGATCCTGATTGGCAATCCCTGCCGTTCGGTTTGTCGTTCGACTTCCCGATCCATCAGCCTATTGATCGGTTCATAATTGTATATCATTTTGTACCCTTCTAGCTTATGATTTGGTTATGTTTTTGAGTTAAACTTGTGCTTTTAATCCTTTTTGTGTTTATCTTTCAGTTCATTGAGCTTTAGGTAATAATGATGGCTTTAGAGAGCATAATTCATGCAATTCAAGCATGTTAAGGCCTAATTTGGATGAATGGATGAAGAGAAGAAAGCTAGGGCTGCTGGTGGGATTTATTGGAGAAGTGCATCAACCAATTCAGATTTTATAATGCAAGTGTTGTATGCATTAGTGAAGTGCATCAACCAATTCATCTTTTATAATGCAAGTGT